ATATTCCTGCTTTTCACAGTTGTACATACATTTATATTGAATAAATTGAATAAAGGTGAATAAGTTAGTCTTTCTTTTTTTCACATTTTTTCTTTGCTGTTTGACCTATGTCCTCAGGAGGAGAGCGTAGGTCTGCACTCAATTGAGATGATTTCCTGGAAGGAGTGTTCTTCATGAATTTATCTAGCATAGTTTGTGTATCCTTTTTCCCTTCTTTGTTTTTCGCGGTTTTTGATTCTTTACGTTTTCGCGAACGCGATTTGCTCTCAGAGGCCTCCACGAAAATCTCTTTATTGTCTGGAGCATCAGCAGTAGTACTGGTGTATGCATCATCGTCCTCTTGATCATTACCAGTACTGCTACTGTCCGTGGAGCACATGTCGTCTTCAGTTTTACAGTCCTCATCATCAGCATCGCCATACTGATCCTGATCAACCCACAGTTTAGGACACTCGGACTTGATGTGACCAGGGAGTTTACATTCCCTGCACACTTTTTCCTTTGTGCATTCCTTGGCGTAGTGGCCCTTCTCCAAACAGTTGCTACATGTAGCGTTCTCATTTGGCTGGCCTTTATGTTTCACCGTCGCTCTATATTTACCAATCTCTATGACAGATGGTATTGGAGATTTTAGATCTTTGACAGTCAATAACCGGTCACCAGTCTCACAGTTCGTGAGGAAGCTATCTACTCGCAGCCTCTCCCGGTACATTTTGATAATTTCACAACCAAAAAGTGATATTGCCCGCTTTATCTGGCCATCTTCTGCCGAAAGTGGGACATTTTTAACTCTAATCATTGTGGTGTTGTTTTCTTCGCCATATGAAGGAAAGCTTGGATTGCTCGCATGTATCCTAACCGAATTCCCTCTAGTGAATCCATGTTATCTTTCTCCTCATCAAACGAAGGAAGTTTCGGTCCACGCGTGGTCAATGACAACTGACTAGATGAATCTACCTTACCTAACTGCTTTTCCTGTAGACTCAATAACTCGCATTTCCTTAAATGTTCCTGTACCGCTCTCGCCTCGCGTTCCATTTCCAGTTGCCTGTTTTCCTTGAGAATCATAAGTTCGTGGGCTCGATCTGCTTCAGCCCGCGCTTCCTCGCGTTCTCGCTGTCTCTGATCACGTTCCCGCGCCTGCTCTTCACGAACAAACTCCGCGAGTGACGTACCCGTAAGACCCATATCAGTACCTATCTCTATTAACTCCTTTAATGTAGCCATGATCACAAAGTATTATAGTTCTGGCAATAATAAAGTAAATCAAAATGTAGCTCGAACTCTTCAGGAACCCAACAATGCATCCCACCGCTGCCACCAAAATTTTGTAACGTGAAGAGCAATTGCTGATTCTCGGAAGAATAAGAGACACAAGCTGTTTTACACTAAACACAAATTTATATACAAAACACAAAGGACATACAAAGCCATGGTTAACAAAATGTCGACAAGCTCACTCTCTTACTCTCTTTACAATTAACACAGGATCCAACCTAGACAATATTAACAATGACAACGGAGGGCTGTGTTCCTCCACTATACAGGTACACTAATCAAATACTAGATACACTTATAGAGTAGGCAGCTATCTACGATGGAAGTGTCAGAATGTCACAAAGTAGGCTGATATCTACTTGTAGTGACAACAATGTCACATGGTCACATCAATGATCCAAGGAAAGTCCATACAGCTCCAAAACTACAAGGGGGTAACCATCCGCCATCCTCTGGAACCTCGGTCGGGCACAACAGGCAATACCTTTGTCCACCATCATCCATCACCAAGTGACCCCCTGCCAGAATGTGCGGGACAACCATCAAGCCATGAATGGTGTCTCACTGGACCATTCCACATGAGCCGTCAACAAGGCAAAGTATAGTAGCCCATCAGCAAGACAGGGTGTAACTACAATAATAGATATTCCCTATATAACACCTGCCATACTGTACTAGTTTAACTAATAATTGAATTAACACAACCTTATTAATTCTGATAATAATCGCATTAATACTCAATGCTATAACATATATTTACCACATTTGACTCCACTTAATGATCAATGATACAAGAAATAGATAATTGTCATTTCAATTATGAACATATTTACAGGTAAAGGTACGGTGCACGACGCCTTAATAGACCGTCGCACAATGGTTATTACGATACATAAGTAAACAACTGTATTTCACGTGCATGTATCAAATCACGAGTAATTGGTAATTAAACGATAATTATGCATGTATTCTATACATTTAACCGGTAAAAATCACATCATACACACCCTAATTAAACACATGGTATAGTAACACTATCGCGCACCTGTGCGTGTGTACACAAACCGTGCTCATAACAAACATACCGGCACAGGTAAATATATTGCTGTTTATCTACACAGCACTGAATAAACCATATTTACAACAATTACAGAATGCATAAAACATAAAAATCATAATTCATGGGTTTTGGGTACTCACCGCAAGCTGTGGTTTGCGTGAACGGTGAATATTATATCATGGTTCAAACAATGGCAATGTTGACACGGTAGCTGTCTCTGTCATGCATAAAAGCATGCGTACACGTCACATCCTCTCAGGTAAAAGTTTCGTAGAGATGAGCGCGCGAAATATGAACAACTGACAAAGTTCTGTATAGATATGTGACAGCATGGACTTTATTAGTTCGTGAGGATAGTATACACGTACCTCCATAATGGACTGTTTGTAGTCTTTATGCTTTGTTAAGTTGCCGCAATTAATGTATCCCTCACACTTGTCAAATGGACACGCCTGATTGCCGCGATTTCCATGTGCCTTGTGTCCGCGGCGATGACACTTGTCACAGACTGTTTTCAAAATAACTCCACCAGGTATGGCCATAGGTTGTAATGGTTCAGGTACCATTCTCATATCTTCAAGTTCATTCTTTTTGTGTAACATCAAGATTGTTAATGAATCCCGTTCGTCTTTTAATTTCTCCATCTCCTTCTCGAGAAACGGCTTCTGATCTTCGTATTTTTCAGCGAAAACATCATGGGCATGGTTAGCAGGCTTACTATCATTGATGCTGTTTTCGTCTTCAACACCGAATAATCTTTTAGGATACCTTTTGAACTTACTTGTAGATGCAACATCAATTATATTTTCAGTGGAAACAACCTCGTGGCCTTCAGATTCAGCTTTAAATTTTTTCTTGGTGTCCGGAGTCTGCATGTTACATATGCGCTCAATCAACATGCGTTTAAACACGACGGGAATGTTCATTGTCTGCACTTAGCTCGGCCTAAGGTATTTAAGGGTCTCTTTGCTGGTAACAGAAAGACAAAACAATTCTTCCTTGTATGGAAGGAGTCCAGGGTCAATGCTCCGAACAAATTCCTCTGGAGTTCTTTCAGTGTCCATCATCAGAGATTATTGGCGGCAGTCACTGTCACTGCCGTTTCCGGTAACTGCGCATGCTCACATAACACACGCTGGGCCATCTAAATATAGCGCAACTGCAGAAGTTGGTGTACAAGTTACCCGTGTTAATCGCACAGATCACGACACAGCTTGACAAGTGCGTTTGTCAACGGTATGACGTCCCGCGCTGTAACAGAGGGCTTCTTGAAACAAAGAAAAGCGAATATCGGACAATGATATCGGGGATTTTGTTCAAGAAAATGCTCACCTACGTATGAACGCGTAGCAATATAATCATACTTACTAAAATAATATCAAGAAGACTAGAGTTGGTTTCAGAATACAAAGTAGGTTCAGTTATTATCTGTGACATGTTATAGAGCTGTATAATATTCGCTAGTCTAGTACGATGTGGATTAGGACGTAACATGTTAGAATTAAAGTCGCCAGTGATAACAATATCATCAATACCAGTATTAAACGCTAGGTCGATAGAGTGCTCAATCAAGTCCCAGTCGTTTATGTCAGAGTTTGGCGGCCTATAAAAGGTTCCGAAGAGTATTTAGCCCTCGATAGAAAATTTCAATCCAAATACACTCAAGATTACCTAAATCAGTTCTCACAGTGGCATATTTTCAATAAAAGGTCAATAAATAAACAGTTCTGGCTTTTCCTGAAATTTTGTTACTTAATTACCTGTATTTCTAAAAGAAATCCAAATGGTTAAAAAAAAACACAAAAAGGTTCTAGATTAGTAAAATAATTCAGTTCAAAATGCATATATAGAAAATTCATTCATTCATTCATGCATTCATTCATTCATTCATTCATTTCATCACACATGTTGAATGGTATAATGCATGTGTGATAAATTATAGCATCATCATATGATGTAGCCCATGAAGCTTATCAGTAATTATGTCCCCCAAAGGAAGTGGGGGACATATTGCTTTTGCTCAGTTTTTTCCACTTTCTTCCGCCAGCGAGGTTTTTGACGCGTTTCTCAAAGAGCATTGCATGTATTGAAACAAAACATTACACACATGTTCATACATGCTAGGCATAGGGCAGGGCAATTAAATTTTTTATAATTTGTCAAATGACCGGTCAGCTGTGGTCAGAATTTGGCCAAAATTTAGAAATTTTCCGATTTTTGTGTTTCTACATTAACAAAACTTTTTAAAAAGTCAAAAATATTTTGATACCTTTCATTTCATGATGGTCATACGCACCTTTCTATTTTAACTTCCGGTTGGTGTTATTTCAGTACTATTCTTGGCTTATTAAATAAGTAACAAAATGTTAATTGAATTAAATAGAATAAAGTGATGTCAATAAATAACCCTCAGAAATGTTGGGATGTTAAATAGATATCTGGTAAAACGATTTCCTCATTTAACAATCGTGCACAAATGAATATTTCATTTTTCAAAATTAAGAAGCAAAATGTTATACCCCTGTCACACCTAGGGTGCGCTCGATTCGCTCTCCGGAACAGTGTTCCCGGGAGATTCTGGATCAGTGTCAATCGAATGCACTTTCACAGGAAGTAGTAAAATCACAATGGCGGACAGTGGCACAATGGCAATCGTATGCTCAGTGATGGAAAATCTCAGTGACAGCAGTGACGACGAGGACGATTTTTTCATCGTTGATGCATGTGCTGCATTATTGTAAGATTTTGTATTTTATGAAATTCGTATTTATTATCCACAGCTACAGAATCGCTTTCAGTTTAGTGCGTAAACACCAACGATACATCTCTCTCCACTGGTCCGTATGTAGAAAGTCTGATTAGTACCCATATAACTTAAGTCTTTTGTTATATGTATATTCGAACTTTTTACTTACAAGTAACTTATATGTAGTGGCTACTGGCTAGCCCCAGTTAACAACATTTTTTTTTTCAATCACAAGTTAACAACATTTTTCAATCACATTTTGAACAAACTGGCCAGAATATAAGTTAGTTATTGTATGTATGAATAGTGTTTAACAGACATACGGTACGTTTTGAATTGAAAGTATGGAATTAAACCCAAAGTAAATATGCAATGTCGGTAACTTGTACAGAACAGGCTATTTTTTCTCTAATTGAAAAAAAAAGTTTTAATGAATAAAATTTTAACTTTCATTTCTTTTGTTAAATACTAGATCCAGAACTGAAAGAAGCAAGATATATGGGTATGCTGATAATGTGGTCCCTCTATACAGTGAGGCTCACTTCCGCAGGATGTTTCGGATGTCAACAGCAACTTTAGATACTCTTTGTGACAGTATAGCAGATTTTCCAGAATTAAAAAAAGATGGAAGTGGTGGGAAAGAGTCCGTTCCAGTTAGGACACAGTTGCTACTTACCTTGTGGTATTTAGGGGGACTGGATACTGTAATAAAAATCGCAGATCGTTTTGGTGTGTCAGAGTCAACAGTGATCATGTGCAGAACACGAATAATAAAGGTCATACTAAATCATCTCAAGGAAAAATTTATTTGTTGGCCATTTGGTCAACAAGCACAAGATGTGGTTGATAATTTCAGCAAAAGAAATGGCTTTCCGGGGATATTAGGCGCATTAGATGGGACACATATTCAGATAAAAGCACCACAGCAACACCCTCAATCATACATTAACCGCAAGAACTATCACTCAATTCAGCTACAAGCTGTTTGTGATTCTGATATGAACTTTATTCATTGCTTTGCTGGCTTTCCTGGGAAATGCCATGATGCACGTGTACTTCGCAACTCAGATTTATGGGAAGAAGGTCTTCAGCTGTGTGGACCAAATCATATTATTGGCGATGCTGCATATCCGTTACGCAGATGGCTTATGACACCTTTTAAAAACACTGGACATATCACACAGGAACAGAGACACTACAATTATATGCATTCATCAAACAGGGTTGTAATTGAAAGAGCCTTCAGTCTCCTCAAAGGAAGATTCCGCCGGCTTCAAAATCTTGACACAAATACAGTTAGAACAGCAGTTAATATCATTATGGCCTGCTGTGTTTTACACAACATTTGCCTTCTTTCAAATGATGAGGTTGAAGAATTCATGGAAGGTGGAGATGATCAAAACATCAACCCTGCTCCACATCACATGTTTAATGAACTTGATCAGGAAGGAATCATCAAAAGAAACACCATTGTGAGAAATCTGCCATAGCTGTTTTTTTCAGCCATAAACATTTATATTACTTTATGAAAGAAATTGCAGCTTGTTTTATTTTAAAAAGTCAGTCAAATTTATGTTCATATGCCTGAACTATAATGTCAGTCTCTAGGTTTATATATGTACACTATGTTATAATATATATAAAGACAGACCATAAGAAGGAAACCAAATATTTTGTTGTTTTTCTTTTTTAAAGAGGCATTCCTTCATTTCAAAGAAATAGAAAGTATTTTTCCAGAAAATTGACTCCCCATTTGGCCTAGATAGCTCAATAATTACCATATATATGACAGTATTTTGCAAGATATATTATTTTTCTGCATACTTCCATGCTAATTTTATCACCGATTGTTAAAAGGACTTGATTAAAAACGTTTGTCTTGTATAAATTTAAAACATAAATGCATATTTCTGCCATTCAAATGAAGGAGTGCCCCTTAACTGCAGTTTTCGAATAGAAACTGTTAAATAGGTATGCCACCACTGCTGCTTTGATGTCCACAATGTAGGGATTGTTCTGAAATGGCATCCATCCTTTAAATAAATGACCTTGGCTGCTGATAGGATGTTAAGCCCAATAAACCCAATAATACTTTGAGATATTTTGAAAGATACATAACATACATGTGTAATTTTGATAGGTTCAGATAAAAAAAAACACAAGTACTCATTAAAATCATTACCCTACTTGGGTTTTAATATGAAAAAAACAAATAACATACAAGTTAACAGTAATGTATATGTATTAAACAAAAAATGGCATTATTAAAAGATAAAAAAATATTGTAAAAAAATTGCAACATTTGTAAGTGAACAGTATGTATACATGTAAAAAAATCAAATAAAGTAACAAAACATTTCTTGTAAAATTAAAAAAGAAAACTTATCACATCAGCTCAACATTTCCTCTGTGGCTGTATCTACCCGAGCATTGATTATTTATACTGAAATATATTAATATTCTGATTCAGAAAAAAAGTATTGTTACTATGTTACATGCTGTCTGATCTCCTGACAAAAAATAAAAACAAAATTAACCGTACAGCTAATATAAAAGCCCAGGGCCTTGGAAAGATATTGCAAAATAAGCAGGGTATATAACCACCTTTCAAAAATTATACACGTAAATCTGTCTAGCACCATTTGGCAACATGTAATACCTTTAATACTATTTTGGAATCAGACTCAGATTAACAAGTGAACACCTTAACTCTCCTCTTTATCTCAGCCCGACATATTGGGCACCTTTCTACATCCCCCCCCCCCCCCCCAGTTCATGCAGGTTACTAGATGGCCACAGTCCAACAGTACACAGTTTGCTGGATTCTCCATACAAATGCAGCAGGACTCTGAAATTTTGAAACAATTTTAAATGTAACATTAGCCAGCTAACAAGTTTAAAAAGAAGAGAACAGAGCATTTTTAACACATTTCAATCATACATACCAACCAGGTATCATAATAAAATATAAATGGACAAAGACTGACTTTTTTTCTCTTATTTATCATATACTGAGTATAAGAAACCAATCAAACTAATAACATATTCCTTAGTATGGTACAAAATAAATGTTGCCAACAGATACATACATATTATAACAAAACATTAGATCAAGTGCATTCATCATGTTCATAGAACGTAATTTTTTCTGAAAATGACAGACCTGTCTTAACAATGCAACTGACATTTCTTGGCAAAATCATTTTTTTTGCTGCAATGATTGCACCAGTGTAGAAAGTAAGGCCATTTTTTCTTTGTGCATTTTATCCTTGCGTGCAGCTTCTTCCTTTCGAAACTCCTGCTGCTGTTGAGTATGCAATTTTAGTAAGTCCATTACTTCAGACGACTTTGATTTCTTTACTTTTTTCCTGCTTGCTTCTTTCGGGATGGAAGCTTCAGAGCTAGAGCTGTCTTGATCTTGATCTACTATTTCATCGTCATCTTCATCTTGGCTTGAAGCTTCAGGCTGCTTTCGTTTTTGAGAACTGATAGTAACAGGACTAATTGTGGGGCAATCTCCCATTAAATCATCAAGATGTCCCTGAAGAAATGAAATCTGGAATGATAGAAGGTATCTCTATTGATTCTTCTAAGTTGGAATTGGCTATGGTGACCAACAATGGATTTTAGGACCTTATGGTGGAGAAAAACGTCCTTCTTTCCGGCCCCCAATTAGATGTTGAAGATGATTAATCACTTGAGGAGATGCTAACAACCATGTTGCCTTTTAAGGTCACAGTAGTCTCTGAAGGCGGCAATATACCAGGTATTTACCATCACAAAGAAGAATCAACAAATCGCGGAAACTAAAAAAATGTGGAAAAGATCATTGTATACTGCATTTGTAGTAAATTTGTATACAATCTTCAATTTACTTGAGTAGAAAGATTCACTAGTTATACCAAGTTTGTGTAGAAAGGATCACTGTATACCGAGTTTGTAGTGTACATAGAAAGGTTTACTCTTTTTTTCTGAGTTTAGTGTATACAATATATATAAAAAAAACTTTTTGTAGAAAAGATCACCGCATACTGAGTTTGTTGTTTACAAATGTGTAGAAAAGATCGCTGTATACCGAGTTCATAGTTTACAATTGTCTAGAAAAATCACTGTATACTGAACATAATATGACTTCTGTTTAAAACCTTCATTTAAACTTAGGCATGTATTTTTTATGTATCTTAAAAGTCTACCTACAACAATTTTGTGTATGCAATCTAGTACTAGGATATTGACATGACAAGATTACATTGCTGATCAAAGCATGGAAAGAATACTGTATCTAAAAACTGAATAAAACAAGATATAAGCATCTGTATGATGTTTTATTATTATTGTTATTATTTTTCCATAATGTCTGTCCACATGGAATTGTGCATTCTTATACCACCAATAGGGTGGTCAAACTGGAATCGGGTTGTCTATCAGTCCATCCATCTGTTTGTCTGTCTGTCTGTAGACACATCTTGTCTGGACAACTCTAATGAAACTTTTCAGTAATATTCAGGACAATGTGTAGATGTGCATGCACCATTTTACCTCGAAATATTGATTGCCATGGCAACTGGTCAATATAGACGGGTTTTGCTTGTCAGTCAACTTCTAAACCTGTGGACCAATTTCAACAAAACTTTGCAGGAATGTTAGGGAACGTGCACATGCCGCTGTGTTTCAGAGGATGTTTCTGTGCAAAAGGTCACCATGGGGAGATAGCTAAGGCTGTGGGTGTTGGGGGTATTAGTTATCATTTGGATTACAGTTTCAGTTATCCCTGGGCAATGTGGAGAGGATATAGTAATGATTTTGAGGATTGAATGTAGAGGTCACAGTACTTGCATAAGTACTATATGATTACCTTGTAAACGCATTGAGACTAAGACAGTATACCTTAATCAAATTTAGAACATGAATCCCTTATGAGGAGAAGTCGGTTTCTTTAGAAATTCAGGGTCAGATGTCAAAGATCAAGGTCACAGTCAAAAAACGGATAGATGCATGGGGGTGTTCTTTGCATTACCCACATTTTTCTATCAAATTTCACAACCTAAAAGATATTCACATCTTGCAAATTTTAAGGTCACTGTAAGGATGTTAAAAAATGATAATACAAGAGGAATAAAATATCTTGCGACAAGTTTTGGAGAACAAAGAATATATAAACATGTCAACAGAATTGTAGAACCAGCAAAACAAGTGTAAAATTGAAACAAAGACAATATCTACTCAAGATTCCCTGAAAAAGTACAAGGAGAATAAGACCAGGCGTTCCGGAAGAATAGGCATCTTCTATTTTAAGTTATGGTGACATATCATATTTGTTTTAGAAAATTGGCACTCTTATGCAGTCATTTACAAACAATCTGGAAAATGAAGCTGCCCAATATTTGTATGTAGCATGTTACTTGCATGATGGTCTAACTAATGGTCTTAAACCAATAAGATACTCAGTCTTTAAAGTGATAATATGGTGTCCAAGATCAACATTTCCTACAATGTATCCAAAGAAATGGACAACTTCCCTATCATTGCATCTTTGAGCCTACTTGGGACATGTATTGCATAAGTAATGCTACTATGCTTGTTATTTCTGATATCTGCTGGTCATTTTTTATGGGCTGCAATGATTTACTGCTTGCATATAGTTGGTTTCAGTATATAGCAAGCTAATAACAAAGAACTTGTTTTTTCAATGGTCTTAGCATACCAGTACTTTCAGTACTTTGATTGCACATTGAGATGGCTAGAAAAAGTACTCTTACTCATAGCATGTGATGAAAAAGTGTAGAAATTTATAGCAAGCCATTGCAGAATAGTTATGTTGGAATCAGGTAAGTTTTGTGTAGCAATTCCTTTTGAATATAGCTCACTGTCAAATGAGAATGACCACTTTTTCTTTTCATCGCAGCCTTCATCGTCTGTTTCTGATGAGTCAGAACCGACATCTGATAAACTGCCTTGATCCTCTTCATTACTTGTAATACTTTCATCACTTTCTTGCAAACTTTCCACAGCTTGTTCAGAATTTCCGGTAACATTATTCAATCTGAAACACCACAAACATGAACACCTGGTATTAAAACATTGATTTTGGACTAATTTATTAAGAAATAAATAACTTGCCAATCTTAGATTTGCTATAGGGACCAATAAACCATTGTTTTTAAAGGGGTTATATAAGAATCCCTTAGTCTGTATTATGTATTTCCAATATTACAGTGTTCATTCATAAGAATTATGCAGCAAACAATAGTTCAAACGGTTTGGACTTAGTTAATCATAAACAATAAAATTACTGTTTTTGGTCTGATGTCTCTGTGTTATTAACAAATACTTGTGATTCTGGCGTTTCTTCCATGTCCGATCCGTCTGAAGAAAATCTGAAAGTAAATATTGATAATGTAAACATGCAAGACGCATTTCAAAACAACAATGCCACGCAACTTGGATAGGTTTACACTCTAAAATAATATCATATGACAATTAAAACTACATTAAATTGTCAATCGATCATTGTCCCAGAGAAATAACATCAGGTCGGGAAATCTTCCAAAATCAGCTATAGGCTAACACACTGTAGCTGAGATCAACTATATTTTACAGTGTACATCTGGTCACAATCGTTTACCAAAACGTTTATTGTGATCTATGAGGACTCATTTCATGAGAAAGCAGTGACGATAATAGTCATTAACCCTGTATACCACGTTCCAATAAAGGAAAATATTGATATATTCCTTATCCTCACGAGTCACAATAATTAAAATCGACTGACTTTACTTATTAGGCCTAATGCCTCTAAGTCTAAATATGCCGTACCTGGTAAATTCCTCCAGCTCATTTTTTTCCGGCGATGTAGTTGGTTCGTTGCTGCCATACTTCAAGTGTTTTGCTACTATTCTGGCATCTATCGGTGCTAATTTAGATTGACAAATTCTACAACTACATCTCTTTTTAGTGTGTGGCATGTGTCCGATCTGCGTGTTAGCTGTGTTTTCCCTCGTGTTTCCATCGTCTCTTGTCACGACGAGGCTTGATACCAGAAGCAGATCGGATGCAAACGCAATTGAGATTACGATTTTAAGGTCAATTCAAATTACAGAACATAAAATTAAACGGAGTGCATTCCTTACATTAATTTGTAGATCATTTACGAATATTACTTTTTATTAGTTTGTATTATTTTTGTTTACAACTAATAACTTATACGAAAGTATTTGAACAATTGTATCAGTGCAGTTGTAATTCCCCCACCAAATCTTCATCTTATTCACAACATAAAATTTGAAAAATATATCGATCTGCGCGTGCCAAGTTCCCGCTGCGCCGTTTACTATTTTTGCATCGCCATGATGGACGTCTCTTTCGAAAATTTGCCTCTCTCCAAAGAAGGAAAAATCGCAATGAAAAGTAGGTTTGTGATAACTTATTGCAATAAATATAATTCTTAGGTTCCAGTTGCTACGGTACACGTGTCTACATAAGCTTAGCATTGTTTTTAACGATTGATCGGCCTACCATGCTAACACTGAAAGGGGCGCATCTAATCAAAATGGTCATAAAATTTGTGAACATAGCATTGGATTACACTAATGACAGTTTTTGTTTCTAGAAAGATGTAACAACAATTCCGATCCCGTTAATCATTTGTAGAAAATAAACATTTACTAATCTAGCTTAGTCTGGCATGATTAAAATGTCGTATTAGCCTAGGCCAAAAATAAAAAAAAAAGTTTGTTACAGGTAGGCCTACATGCATGCTTGAAAAATAGGGTAGGTCCGTAGGCTTTTTATTTGACTTTTCATTATTTATATGAAATTTCTCACTCTTGTGGGTGGAGGTGGGGGTTTTAATTCACAAAAGTTTTGGCTTGTAAATAATATGATTTATGTTTGGTTTTGAAGCGTTTTGACCATTGTTCTGGAAGTTCTATTCTATAGTATTTCCATTTTTCATTCAACATCATCATATCACTTTCACCACGGACATATACATCTGTATATAAGTCTGTGGTGTCACATAACCATAATTTATCGAGAGTGATTGTAAGATTAAATCGTTAGGGACAGGGGTAAAAACTAGGGTCGGTCGAGATAGTGGAACATACATATAGGATCTTAAATGAGGTTTCATTTGATATGAGCTTTTATGAAACGAGTCCAGTTCTTGACGTCAATCCATTGTTGATGTGACATCATTTGAATGTTCTTCAATTGTGAAGTCAATATTTGAAAGTTACTAGTGTAATATATATCAAAATATGTAATGGTTTATTACACTGCATAATACCACAGTCATGATAAATATATTTTTTGACCTTATCAAGTTGCATGTATTAAACTTAAGAGAAAAAATGAATTGGATTGAATGCTTACCAAACTATTTAATTTCTTCTCTTTTTTTTTAGAAAATGGTGTGACTGGAAGATTTATATACATTCACGGAGGGTGATTTCCTAGATATATTTAAGATATTTCAAGACCGGAGATTGGTGAGGAAGCTCATTCAAGCTATTTCAGTTCCAACTAGTACACATTTGAATTCGAGCTTTAGCAGTGCCAACACGAGCATGGAAATGGAAAGTGACTTCGATCAAGAAGCAGATCAAGGTCAGATAGATTTGAAAACTGTCTGTGAGTTTAGTGCAGATGAACTTCTGCAAAAGAAAAGTTTACGTGGACAGAGCAATGATGCTCGAAAATGTTTTAACACCCTTATGAAATATGCTGCAAAAGCAGCAAACATTTGGAAAACATTGGACAGCATCAGTTTAAAGAAAAAAGAGATATTCCTGAAAGTCTGCATTGATCATGCACCATGCCTGGAAACCCGAAAAAAATGATCTGTGGCAAAGAATTGGTCAGCATCTTCAAAACAGACGCAAGTATCTACGTGACAAATTGGCAGGAAAAAGAAAGCATAAATGTAAGCATCCAGTAGATCTAGAATCATCAAAACCTGATGTCTTTAAAGCTGGGGATGAAGTTGTTATTAAGAAGGAAAACCTTGTATATGGGAAAGGCATTTTTATGGGATATAAAAATGGATCTAACAAAGTCTATTCAAAAGTAATTTTGAAAAGCAAAACAAATACAAAGGACACGGGCCAAAACTTCGAGTTACCAGAGAAAGCTCCCGATGGGGCTGTGGATTTTGAAAGTGCTGGTTTGAAACAGATAATCACTTTTAAAAGTTCTGATATTCTAATGGAAGGTAGCTGTAAAGGACAGAACAAGAAAACTGTGAAGCCAACATCTACAGTGTCAAGAGCCAGTGTGGAAAAAAATGAAAGTAGTGATTCTAGTGAATCTGAAAATGAATCCAACCCAAGATTGACCAGTAATACATCTTCAGAAAAAGGTGATTCAGATTTGAGTGATGTTGATCATGGTCGAACAAATTCTAAAAGAAAAGCCAATCCCCAGCTTCCAGGGAAGTTCGTCCAACCATCTGAGGAAAAGAAACGGAAAACTAATGTAGAAACCAGCCAAGTTCCGACTGGCCGATCAGCACAGCCAAAGAAAGCTAGGCAAAATGAAACTGAAAATAGTTTGACTATAGATAATAGGGATTTTTCCTTTGTGCTGATGGAGTGGGCAAGGGGAAGCTTATACTGGGGTGTCAGAAGACCCTCACCAAATGGAGATGATAATTTCATTGTACGGAATTGTGGAAAGCCGTGTTTTAAGCTGAATAAGGACAACATAAACCTAGAGCTGGGAGAAAGTTTTTGGGAAATAACAAAAAATGCTGTCCTAGGTGGCACAGATGTCCAGTTAAATCCCGACATGACATATTGTATTCTTGAAATACAGAAATGCAACAAATTTTTATCCCTTTATCAAGACTCTAGTCATCCAAAATATAAGCATGGAATTGTTAAAGTGGATGAAGATCAAAAGTGCAATTTTTTAAAGAAAGTCTGATGCATTAAATGCATATGTCAAAAGTTGTTAACTCGCATGTGACAAACACCGTACAGCTGTACTTAATATTAGAACTTATGTAATTTGAACATTCATTCATTAGTGACTATATACATATATGGTAACAATGAAACAAAGGTAGTCTGCTAAAACATTTTATTTCCAATTTATGTTCATTTCATTCAATAATAATGTGAATCTGATAAAAGTTCTTCAGCGCTGACATTATGTAAAGTTCTATGAAAGACTATGCATCCTAAGTTACAAAACAATATTACAAGTAGTAATACTACAGAATCATAACATCAAAATGGTACAAAACTTGTATGGTACATCTGTATGTATATTGTACACAATACAAACATTCACCATACATATTGATCTTTTTATTTTGTCTGTTCATTTTGTAGGTATTTAAAAAATGTAATATATTAATTGCCATTACATTTTGTCAACAATTTTAATTTGATTGCCATTAAAAATACGTAATGGGTATTAATATTGCTCAAATATTAATGGTACCATTAAAAATGGTCCTTTTACCTACCATCACTACTGCCCAACAAAGGCATTAAAATACCATTACAAACCCATTAAAAACACTATTTTCATTACAAATGGTAGTTATTTCTCGTTTCCTTTTTTTTGACAAACTTGTCATTTTGTAAATTAATGGCTATTATTTTTCGAAATTTCAATTACATTGCTATTACTTATTTCATTGTAATGGGCATGAATAAAATAATGGCCATTATTTCATGGTTTTTTATTTTCTAATTGCAATTATTTAAATTTGTAATTGCCATCATATTTTAGGATCATCATGTGATGGTCATTACTAAACGAAGACTTAAATGTATGGCCATTACATTTTCTATCTAATGACGATGAGTAAATATGATCTCATTGTAATGGTCATTACTAAATTAGAAATTTAAGTAATGGCAATTACATTTTCTATTTAATTACCTCAGAAATTATAGCATCATTGTAGTGGCCATTACTATTCAATTAATGGCCATTACATTTTCTATTTAATTATGAAGAAATTACGACTTCATCGTGATGACCATTATTATTTAAGTAATGGCCATTTCATTTTCTATTTAATGACCTTGAGAAATTATGGCCTCCTTGTGACGGCTATTACTTAATAAGAAATTTAAGTAATGGTCATCACATTTTCGTTATAATTACCCGAATAAAAACATGCTAATTACGTATACATACAGTAAGGACTTAGTTTATATTACAATTTTCCTTGCAACAGCCATGACCAATATGCATGATCACATATGATATATGAATTTGCTCTACTTTTTGCTGGCCTTAATGCATGCAATGCTCTTATGTATATGACATTGTTTTGCTTTGTTTCTTTACTTTCATTACGTGTTAGGTCAGTTGACAGACTTTGAAATGAAATCTCAAACTGAAACTGTCGAATTTATAAAATAAAAAAAATATTATCTATAAATATGTACATTTGAACATTTTATATTCATCCGTAAAATTAAAGTAGAATCAAAGACAATTTAATTCAGCTCTTAAAATGTTTTATTTCTATTGATGATTTTTTGGTTAAAGCTAAATACATATTGTGATATTGCTTGTTTATTTGATTATGAGCATATATTATGTGTAATGAGACAAAAAATCAGCAAAGCAAATTTATTGTGGAGTTTTTTTGTGATATGTACCTGGTATATTTTGTATTTGATATCTCCAGTAAAATAGCTGAAAAATTGAACAATTGTGAATGTTTTATTTTATGCCAACTTTGAATATAATTCTGTGTAGTATGCACAAAATGCGAATCAAAACAACACTTTTGTGTTAACATGCCAAATATAAGCATGTATGAAATGCTTGATTAAAGATAAGCTTGTTTGCATATATATACATACATCAATCTCTATTATAAAGATTTGTTCCAAACATATCATGGAAATAATATCCCCATGCATTTGCATGATGTCTTTCAATTGCAAGTCAAAGAAAAAGATCTTTGTGAATATTGAGAATGCATATATGTATTATCCCCAAGTTTCTCTCACTATTAAAAT